TCATCGTGAGACCTCAGTGGGATGCGCCGCGCGCGGAATGGGCAGGGTGACCTACTTTCGACGGACGCGCGCAATGGACGTTCTCCCTTTCTCGCCCAGCCCCCTTTTTATCGGTTTTTCGAAGCCTCCTTTCACTTTGAAAACATCGATTCACGCAGTTTCTTCACCTTAATCGCACTATTTTCGATCTTGTCTACCATTTTTCATCATAAACTGGATTACCCAAAATTATCGTGAACTGTGCCTTCAAGGAAAACACGCTTCGAGGCGAACCTTCTCAACACTCTTTGACGTGCCTGGCTTTGGACATAGTTTTCAAAGCCCTATCTGTTCTGAATTTTCCTATTTTTAGATGCACGATGGAATTAGCCATCAGCTAGCCGTTCAAGGGCTTTCAATGGAAGTTTTGAAGCAAATACAATACATGCCGTCTACTTACGATCCCCTCCAGTGCAACGATGTCGCCGTGGCAGCATCGTACGGGCAAGTTGTTGAGTGTGAGTATTTCCTCTTTATCTCTAAAATTTTCTGCATTGTGAACGTCACGAAGACTACATGGCCCCGTCGACTAGTGCCGTTCAAATCTGCTGGAAATTATGCTCGATTCCTGCACGATTTAGGCTTGCGCTTTCGCCGGCGGTAATTCGTTGATAGCGGTCTCACGGTGTGTATTATCACCGTAGCCACCCAGACCGCCACAATCACCCGAATCCGCCATATATGTACATTGCACACTAAAAAACCCATTGATTTGCTACGACACGCGGCGAGCGTTGTTCGTCGATTGAGCTCAAGCTCACACACCCATCTTCCAGTATGATCAGGAATAGTTGTTCGCTGCGGTAATCACCAGAGGCATTTCGTCTTTTTTATCGGCTCATTACTTCATAAACCTCAGTGAAAATTTGAACAAGCTTTGTTTCCGAAGAATTGTCGAAACGGGGGCTTCTTATTCTCCATAGCAGTAGCAAGTCAATCTCACGCAGGTCCTAGCAAGGTCCCATTTTCTGTGAGCCCCTTCATTTCCTTCAACCTGCGGCATCTTTTGCCCTAAACACAGTTTTATCCCCTCTCCTTTGAAGCCTCTCATGGTCGCTCGCCTTCGTTACACTTCGAACTCCATTTCTTTTTATTGAAAGAGGGAAGGAGCCACACGGCGTGTCTGAAATGCTAACCTTGTGGAGAAAGCTTAGATGAAAAGGAATTGATAGTATGCCGCAAAGGCCTAAAAGTCGCCTAAAGTCTGGGGCAGTAATTAGTCCCGTCTGACGGATGCGCCCACACGCTCGACTTCCATTCAGAATCGTAGTGGCGTAATGAGTGCGTATGTGGCCTATACAATGACTTGCGGTGGCCAGCCGATGTATAGTGCTTTGATC